CAATTTTAGCATCTGACTAAAATGGGATCCTCCTGGCTCAGTTTCCCCATTATATTCCTTTGAAAAGGAATGTTACCCACCTGGTTATTCCTGAGTCTGGCTATGAGGTGGATTTGATACTGCATGGTTGGAAAACTGAATGATCTGAATCCAAACAGAGCTAAGGATGTTTTATCCTCTCAAAGTTGGGCCCTAAATTTAGTCCCTGCTTTATATCTGGGTCCTGCAGTTTTTTGTCAGATTTGTCTTCCAGACTATGGGCCATTCACCTACAGTTGGTAGCAAACAGCAAGTACCAGCCAATGTCCCCATGTTGTTCCCTGGATGCAGCCTGCGCTCAGTTCCAGTCAACCTCCTCTTTGGGACCCCCTCAAGGCAGGGACAGCTCTACGCCCCTTGCCAGCAGGAAGCAGTTTCAGAAGCTGAGACCTTTGCCCCTTACTCCAAAAGAATTTGGGTCCCATTTGTTTCAGGGGGGAATGATGGGGTTGGGATCTGGGTCCCAGAAAGGAAAAACCCTGGACTTTCCCACATGGCCAAATCTGGCGTTCCCCTGAGGTTATAATCCCTTTCATTGTGGACCTCCCTATGGCCCCAGGCCACTTCTCCATTTTTCCCTTGGCCATGTGGTCCAGGTCCCTGGAATTCTATTACCTCATAGACTACTTGGCCACTCCTAGATCCCTCCCACAATCTTTCTGTATATAAGGTCCATCTTGTCTCCATTAAAATGCTTAGATTCTCATAATCTAGCCACTGCTCAGATTCTTATAATCTAGCCACGGCTCAGATTCTTATAATCTAGCCAATGCTCAGATTCTTATAATCTAGCCAATGCTCAGATTCTTATAATCTAGCCACTGCTTACCCATGTTCAGAATCCTTAAGAGTCTGCCCAATATGATGGATGTTCTAATAAACCTTATCTTTGACTGAAAGAAGGCTTGGGTCAAATTCTTTCAGGCAGGACCCGCATGTTGTGATTTTGGGGTCCCAATATCCCTGAACCCCTAAACTGCATCAATACCTCATCTGATTTTTTTAAATAGAGAAGCAAAACAGTGTAGGTATCAAAAAAAATGGAAAATTCACAATCATGGAAAATGAAATAAAGGAAACTATCAGAAACTATTTGGCTCAATTATATGCCAGCAAACATGATAACTTAGGTGAAATGTATAAATATTTACAAAAATATAAAATACCCAGATTAACAGAAATAAATTATTTAAATAGTCCAATGTCAGAAAGAGATATTGAACAACCATAAACGAACTCCCAAAGGGGGACAAATCCAAGACAATATATATTTATAGCTGTATTTACATTTGTTCTATCAAACACCAATAGAACAGTTAATTCCAATATTATATAAGAGAGCTACAGACAAAGCCCTCCAGGAAGAAGAGACAGTCTGTGCAAATGCATAGAGTCTGGAATTTGGGGAGAGAGATTCATTGAGGGAAGCATATGATTAAATAGTGCCTCAAGGCATTTATTTCCTCAAGGTCCAACCTAAGTCAAATTCTGAAGCGGTTAGGTTGTATCCTCTATGGTTTTAGAATATCCCCACACCTTTATACCATATATGCTCTTATTCTGGTTGGGCTTACTGCCTTCTAGCACCATCGACACCTTAGAGAAAGGAATCCCTGGAGGATACATACCTGTAGAGTTCTCTATAAGCCTTCTCTAGCTTAAGAGAAAGGCAAGGAGCAGGGCACAAATAGTAGCTGTTGTGAGAGGTGTGAAGTATCTTTTGCTGAAAGAGCATAACACATTCTCAGTGTCCTGCCAATTGTGGCTGTCCTAAAAAGAGTTTGACACTTTGTATTTATTTTTCCAGTGCTAAGCACAGTGCCTAACCGTGTAGTAAGTGCTTAATAAATGCTAAATAAAACTCTTATGCTCTGCGCTTCCCAATGATTCTGAACATGTGGCTAATTTTTTACAACACTTCCAAGCCCAATTGCACAGTTTTTGACTCCCATTCATCTCAACCCTACTCCCACAACACATCTGCTATCCCCTTCCATTGTGCCCTTTGGAATTTCTGCTCCATAATTAAGCTTCTTTTCATCTAAAACTTCTTTTCTTGCTCCTTCCATTTTCTGTCCCTCACTGAGACCTGGCTTCGTCTTGCTTGCACTGTTTCTATCACCACCCTCTCCGTTACTGACTATGCTCTCACTCATTCCCCCCAAAGTCATTGGTCTTAGTGAGGGAGTTAGAGTACTCTTCCTTCACTCCCCATTGTCACTTCCAAACTTTTCCTCTACCAACCAAAACAACTCAGCCACCTCTCTTCCACTGAGGTTCATGCTATCCAGATTCATCACTCAATCCATAACTTCCTTTTTGAGTCCAGTGCCTGGCTCACAGTCTTTCCTCCCCAGCTCTTTCCCTCATACTAAGGGCTACAACATCAATATTGATGACCAACTTCCTGGTGCCTTAACACCTCAACTTCCTAGTTCCTTAACCTATGTAAACCCCCTGAGGCACTCTTCCTCTCCTACCCCCATCTCCATACAGCAATGGTCACCCCCTTTATCTTACCATGACCCACATCTGTTCCACTTGGCTGTACATGAACTCCAAGATTCCTTTGGTCTTAGTTCTTTATCATCTTCCAGACAGCAGGAAGTAGCTCCATTGGGTGACCAGGCCAGGTGTCCTGGCCACCTATATTCATCACATATGCTCCTTTCTGCCTAGGCCAGGGGTGGAGAACCTTCAGCCTCAAGGCCATGTGTAGCCTTCAGGATCCTTGGGTGCAGCCTTTTGACCTAGTCCTAGTTTTACAGAACAAATCCTTTCATTAAGGGGATTTGTTCTGTGAAGTCTGGATTCAGTCAAACGGTTGTACTTGAGGACCTAGAGGGCCACATGTGGCCTTGAGGCCACAGGTTCCCCACCTCTAGCCCAGGCTTACCTGTCCACTTCTCCAAGGCAGGAATGATTTTCTTTCCTCTTTAGATACTCATTTTGAAATATGAAGCTAGGTGGTGCAGTGAATAGAGTGCTAGGCTTAGAGTCAGGAAGACCTGAGTTCAAATCCAGCCTCAGGCACTTACTAGCTTTGTGACCCTGGGCAAGTCACTTAACCCTGTTTGCCTCAGTTCCTCATCCTTAAAATGATCTGGGGAAGGAAATGGCAAACCATTCTAGTATTCTTGCCAGGAAAACTCCAAATGGGGTCACAAGGAGTCAGATACACCTAAAAAATGACTCAAAAGATATGGAAGGCATTGCATTTCAATCTGGTTTTCTCAAAAATCAAATTTTTATTTTTTCATGTGAATTTTCTTTTATGGTTGTCCCATTGTGTTTCAGAGTCACCCAAGTACTGTGCTTGTGATTGCTAGGGATTCCTAATTTGTTCAGCAATGGATTGAGGGATAAGTTGCTTTTTGAGTATATGGAGTAGTCAAATAACCATCAGTCAATCCACAAACATTTATTGAAGCCCTACAATGTGTCAGGGCTTCTCAGGGACACTGGAGAAAATGCTCAAGTGGCTGTAGAATTCCTCCAGTGTGTGAGCCACACAATTCCAATCTATAACAACAGTCACTAGGACAGAGCTCTGAGCATGTTCAATTTATTAGGGATACTGGTGGTCACTAATTAACTGGGTCCATGGCCACCTTCAGGACCAAGGACTCCACCCCTTGCCAGCTAGCTACTTGTATATACTTGGGAGAGCCCTAAAAATAGGCATTACAATTCACTGATTGGTCAGTTCCAGAAGAGTGGAAATCTTGCCGTTGGCCGAGGAAACGTCCATTAATCATAGCCTTTGTCAACAGACCTTTACAAGCCATGAAACTGTCCACAGGTCATCATCTCCAGGCCATCTCAGCAGCAGCTCTCCAAAGGTCCCAAGACCCCAGTGTCTGACCAACAGTATCACAGGGTCCAAGGAAGTTGTGGGTTTGAAGCAGAGGTCAATAGGGAATGGATGTAGTGATGCAGAGTGGGGAGAGGGTATTGCACCAGCAAATGACCCTTATTACAGCATGTTACAGTGGGGGCAGGGGCAATTATATTCTTAGTACATTTCTAACTAACAATATGAACCTAGCTGATAGATATAAGTAATATAATCATCAACACATAGTCATAACTCTTCTAACACAACGACTTCAACTTAATCCTATTCTCTTTAACTCATGGATACAATCATCACTGATAACCCATCAAATAATTATAAACTACACACTGATTAGCTTGAATACGGGGTATGGAAATGACACGTTCCTGGCTACCGATCTTGGGTGATTCCTTCCCATGGTGGGGCATTGATTAAGCACCTACTATGTGCCAGCCCCTGCCCTAACCGTTGGCAGCAAAACCAACCCCTCCAGGGATCCAGATCCCAACCTGTCTCCCCCGGGGGCTCTGTTCCATGCCAGCGGGGTCCCCCCACGATGGTGGGAGCCTTCCTCCAATCCCTCCCTGTGCTTGGCACTCAATGACAAAAGACAGCAGTGCCCTCACAAGGCTGCTCCCCTATGCACACGCCATGGGGGAAGGGGGCAGCTCTTGGGCACAGCCAGTGGCTCTTGGTAGATCCCAGGGCCAGGCACCCAGTAGGTGCTCAATAAATGCGCTTTGACTCACTCTGCTGCCTATGAACATCCCCTGGGGATGGACTGACCCTCCCTGACCCCCGCCTCTGGCTGGCACGTGGATACATGGAGTCAGCAGCCCCTAGGACGTCACCGATCACTTCCGGGAAAAGAGATGGTGAAATCGCCAAGCAAAGAGTATAAGGCGGGGGAGTGGAAGGCGCATGCGCAAAGCGACAACGGGCCAATGACTGTCACAACTGCGCACTCCCGGGCGGGCCACAGAGCCCTGTTTCCCAGAAGGCTGAGCGCCCCCAGGCCTCCTTTGCGCCAGCTAGAGCGGTTGTCATGGAAACGGCCCGGATGGGCGGGGCATGGGAGTGTGCTGTCTGACGCAACTTCCGTTTTGTGCTTAATCCTGGGTCGCAGTCCTCCAAGGGAGAGGCAGGGCCGGCCGCGGTCAGTTGCGAGGGAAGACGGGGGTCATTGTGGCCAGAGGGGTCACGGTGTGTCCCCCATCCCTCTACCAGGCGCCCCCTTTCTCCTTCTGCACACCCTGACCTTCGGCCTTCTCCCGGCCCCCCCACCTCTGCCCTCCTCCCAGTTACTCCCCCCTCCCTTTCTCCACACCCTCCCTCCCCCTCCCCCGCAGCTTTCTCATCCCTCCGCCCTCCTTCCCCCAAGGGTGTCTCTCCCTCTGATTCAGGGGGCACTTGCCCTCCTGCCTGGCCTGGGCTCCAGGGAGGGATCGGAGCAGGGAATAGACCGGAGAGGACCAGGAGGAGATGGAGGGAACTCCCGGGAAAGCAAACGGACTCCTCCAGTGCAGATCGTGCCCTGGGTGGAAGGCAGGGGTCAGAGGGGCAGCTCGCACCCAGGCCTTCCTGGCTCTAAGGCTGGCCCTCCACCACTGCCCCACCCCACAGCCTCTCTGGATCCCACTGAGAGAGAGCCCCGCGCTGGAGCCGCCCACATGATCTCCTGGGGGGTCGTGCACATGCCTCTCCTCCCCATTGCCACCTCTTGTTCTTTGGAGGCCAGCTCCAGGCCACCAGATGTTGCTCATGTCCAGCCTCCGTGCATTTGCACGGGTTGTCCCCCTTTCTCCATCCCTGTCTTTGCAAGCCCTTGGCGGTCTTGGGTGGCTTTTGGCACCCCTGCTTGTGATCTGGCCTTCATTACCGTTGTGCCTGAGAATACCGACAGCTGATGTTTCTGGTGCCAAAGCACTTAGTTCTTTCTCAGGAGCTTTGTGAGAGTATGTTGGGGGTGTGGGGGATGGCGACAACATGTGGAAGGAATTTGGCTCACGCTGACTGATTCACCAATGAATTCATCTGTCTGGCTGATTTCTTTTTGTCCCGTTTATAAACAAATCCGTGTTTTAGAGGATGGCACCCTGACAGAGGGTAGCTGGAAGGACCCAGGGAAAAGTCTAGTTACTAAAATACCTAAGACTAGTAAAATCCTATTTTTAAAAAAATAGTTGTAGCAGCAACGTGCTCCTTACCCTCATTTTCTGGGAGAAAGTGGGGCTCAGAGAGGATTCCATGATTTGCCCATGATCTTGCCTCCAGGGAGAGAGGGGATTGTGTCCCAGGTGGCAGGGTGGCTATCAGGCCAGGGGTCCTGCCTATCCCCTAAATGTTGTTTCTCCCAACTCACTCAGCTCCTGGAGACCAGGGACTGGTGCTTTTTGTCTGTGAGGCCTGCAAGGGTCTCTGTTCTTTATGCTCGGTAGGTGAGAATGAATGGGAAGGGGGCACCCTAGGGTTGGAGTCTCTAGCCTCTCCCCCCTTTCCTCTCTTAGCAGGTCTGCTTCTGCCCAGCTTCCCCATGAGGAATAGGGTAGGGGCTTCTCTAGCCCTCCCCTCTCCCCCAGAGAGCCAACCCCACTCATGTCTTGTTTCTCTTCCCAGCCCTGCCTCACCAACTCTGCCCAGCTTCACCATGAGGAATAGGGAAGGGGCTCCTTAGAGGTGAGGTCTCTTCCCCCGTCCAGCCCCGGCAAGACCAGCCCTGCTCATGGCTTGCTTCTCCTCCCCAGCCCTCCCTGCCCAACTCTCCCATTAGGTACAGGGAAGGGGCAGCTAATCTCCCCACCCCCCTCAGCAGGACGAGCCCTGCTCATGGCTTGCTTCTCCTCCCCAGCTCTGCCTGTCCAGCTTCCCCATGAGGAGTGAGCTCTGTGGATTCAGGAATGGCCCCTGTGCTCCTGACAGCAAGGGTCTGCCAGGTGAGTGACCCCAGACCTGGGGGAGCACATCCTCCACGTAGCCTCGAGTCTTAGATGCAGAGCTGACCAGAACCTTTGTTCGTTCACCTCGGCCGATCCCCTCACCTGACAGAAGAGGAAACCGAGGCCCCAAGCAGGGAAACCACCTGCCCATTTGAATGCAGGTCCATTGACCCCAGCTGCAGCTCTGACAGCCCCAGTCCACAGGACCTCCCTTCCCAGCTGAGGAATGATTTAGGGAGCACCTCTCCCTGGCCTTGAGTCCCTCCCTTCTGCGCCTTGTTGAAGACTTTGGGGTTCCTACAGGTTCCCTACTAAGCTTTGTGCTATGAGGGCGGCAGAAGCAGACTTCCACGAAGAATAGCAGATCTTCCCCTTGCTTCCCTGGAGCTCTTCATAACTTGTCAGGGTACAAGCAAGGCCATCCCCATTCTACAGAAAGACAAACTGAGGTTCCAAGGGAGAAGATTTCCCAGGATCCTGGCATCAGCAGGAATTCAGGAAAGAAAGCCCTCTCGGTTAAAGGTTAAATCTAGTGCTATGGAATGTAGTTGGCATCCATGTAAAGTCTTATCCTGGGGTCAGGGAGGCTTGTGAATGGTCTCCAAGGTCAATGTCAGCTGGCCAGCCTAGAACCATGGCAGCCAATACAGCTGCGGTGGCCTTGGGCGTTGGCTGGGAGGGGCCAAGGGAGGAACGGACAGTCTGCTCTCCCCTCCCTGTGTCAAAATATTTTGGAGACCCCTGTTTCTCAGAGCTGAGGCCCAGCAAGCAGGCTATGCCCTGAGTGTGGCATAACAAGAATCCTTTGCACTGTGGATGATCTCACCCCCTGGCAAAGTGTATTACTTGGACCAGCACCAGGTGTTCACTCCTGTTTCCCAGGGACCTGAGAGCTGAACATCCATCTTATCTCTGACATGTTCACAATCCTGTTCCCATCACAGAACTTGGGTTCTATACCCCACAGACAAATCACAGCCCCTGACACTTGAGACAGTCAACCTAAGAATGGTCCCCCTGGGACTCAGGAACACCACGCATGAACCTACCTTGGTAACAGACCTACAAATGATTATGTCCTGGTCATAGAAACTCTGCCCTTCTGCCTGCAAGATAAGCCTTCCTTCTTAGGAGGGGGTCCTTCTATCTGCAATCGTCATTTTCCTCACTCTGAAATTAATTAAACTGCTTTTCGTGTCCTGACTCTCCTGCCTCTGGCCTGCTCTGTTTCCGCTCCAGCCATTGCCGGGTTCAAGTCTGGTTCCAGTCCGGTTGACACCTGTGCTCAGCCCACATGATGGGGGGGACAGGCCTGCCTTCCATCCTGAGAGTCATCTTCGGGAAGGCTGTTGATAAGTTAGGATGTGCCTTGGGGCCTGCTTCCACCAGGAGGGCCTCCTGCCCATGGCCGGGTCATGATGGATGCCACCTTCAGGGAAATCCTGTCCTCCCATGACTTGTAATGCTAGGAGAGGCCTGGGAGAAGGTGTGTCCCCTTGAAGAGGGTCAAAGCGCATGAGGAATTCTCTGGAGCTGGTAGGGGGCCTCCAGCCTAGGCCATTGCAGGGCCCACGATGGCTCCAACCCCCTCCTTTTCCAGAGGAGAAGCTGAGGCCCAGGAGGGGAAGGGATTTGTCTGAGGTCACAGTCAGGAGCAGAACTGAGGTTTGAACCCAGGTCCTCTAATCCAGCCTGCTTCCTCCCACTCCAGGCCGTGTCCTGCACAAGGGCAGTTCCTTTATTAGACGATTCAGAGGCTGTTACAAACCGAAGTACTGACAGATATTTGGATGGATCTCAGTGAAGCCAGAGCCCCAAAAGCTACATCCCCTCTCCTCCACTGTCTGGGCCCTTTACTCCCAGGTCCATTTGAGGGCTAGTCCCTGGACACACACAAAGAAAGGCATTTGGTGTTTCAGGAGCCAGTGACCTTCCAAGATGTGGCGGTGGTCTTCACAAGGGAGCAGTGGGCTTACCTGGACCCTTCCCAGAAGGAGCTGTACCGAGACGTGATGCTGGAGACCTACCGGAACCTGCTCTGCCTGGGTGAGCACGGCCTCCCCCTGGGACTCTGGCTCTGCCTCCCCCTCCTAAGCCCCCAGAGGGGTTCTTGGGTCCTTCCTTGGGAAAAGGCTTAGAGGGGACTGTTTGGACTTTAGAGAGTGGGGAGTCCTCATCTTGGGCCAAGAGGCTCATTCCCTCACTCATGAAGCTTGTATTAGGCGCCTCTTGTGTGCCAGACCCAGTACTAGGTGCTGGGGACACAGAGACAAAATGGTCCCTGCCCCCCCAGGAGCTTACATTCCATTTGAAGGGAATGGCATGAGCCCCATTCAGTAAATGCCCCTAGTTTTTGTGGGATGGGTGCTGGGTAAAGGCCCTAGCCCCTTTCAGGAGATCAAGTTAGCACTCATGTAACAGGGCACTTGCTAAGCCTTAACGAAAGCTAGGGATTCTGCCAGGGTTTGGAGTTTGGGCTGGGCTTTTTTCCTTTGGAATCTCTGCTTCCCCTGGTCTTTAGTTTCATCTTCTCTGGCGTGAAGCTTGGGGCAGCTAAGCTTGGTTGGAACCTTACCCCAAGGCTCCCACTTCCTTTGAGCAGGACTCGCCATGTCTAAGCCCCAGGTGATCTGCCAGCTGGAGCGAAGGGAGGCTCCTTGGATACCAGAGAGGAGAGTCCCAGGGAGCAGCTGTCCAGGTGAGTGAGTGACTGACCCCCAGGCAGGGGAGTCCTTGACAACAGTGTCTTCACTGATCAGTCAGTGCAGTCCCTTCCATAGAGTTGAACAGGAGCCTCTGCTCAGAGCTGCCCAGGCCTCTGAGGAAAAGCCCCCACTGTGTGTCAGCCAAAGGAGGGCCATTCCCTGCCACCTCAGCAAGTCAGTCTCCTGACAATTCCCAGTCTCAGAGAAGGCTCTTGGGATCCCAGATGTAGAGTTGGCAGGGCCCTCGGGCCACCTATTCTGACCCCCTCATGTTACAGGTGAAGAAACTGAGGCCCAGAGAGTGTAGTGACTTGGCCAAGGTCACTCAGACAGCAGGAAGACTAGCATCCAAACCCCTGGCATGGCCACCAACCCCAAAGCCAAGTCAGGGGGTATCTCATATCTGTCGCTCCTTTCTGTGATACAACCTCTTCAGCACCACAAAGGTCAATGACTATGTTTGGCTTTGAGCACTCTTAGGAACCTGATCCCATCCCACTTTACCATCTAAATACTGTTCATCCCATTTCACATTTTCTGTGGTCCAGTGTCCTTGGCCTGGCTGCTGGTCCTTGGACAGCACATGGAGCTTCCTGCCCTCACACTCAGGGACTTCCACATCTATGCTGATGCTTCCTCGAGCACCTCCAGCTCCTGTGTCCTCCCTTTCTCTTCCGTCTCTGCTCCACCCTTGGTCTTATCCATCTGCCCCATCAGTGTCCCACATTCATGGATCAGAACGTGCTCTGACTCTCACCCCAGCTCTCACCCTCTCTGGATGAATCCCACCCACCCATTTGTTGTTGCTCTGTATGTCTTCTCCCCTTCTGAGCTCAGGGCCTTGAAACATCCATCTACACTGAGTGCTTGACTTCCTCTAGGCCTCTTCTCTGTCAAACCCTCTGCACTTTGGCTTCTGACTTCATCACCCAACTGCAACAGGTCTTTCTCTAATTGCCCAGGATTTTTAAATTTCCCAGTCTGATGGTGTTTCTCAAAGTCTCTTCTTGAGCTGTCTTCAGCATTGGACAAAAAGAAATAATGCCAACCTACAAACCTGCATTGAGAAAGAAAAATTTATTCATTAAACCTTTGGGGTTAGACAATAAATTAGGACAGCAAATATTTAAGTGACAAAGATACTAATAGCCCATAACTTTTCAGTGTTCCTCCCTCCTGGCTGTTCTTGAACAAGACCCTCCTACTCCCAACTCTGGGCATTTTCTCTGGCTGTCTCCCTTGCCTGGAATAGAAAGGGAGGACACAGGAGCTGGAGGTGCTCGAGGAAGCATCAGCATGGACGTGGAAGTCCCTGAGTGTGAGGGCAGGAAGCACCATGTCCTGTCGAAGGACCAGCAGCCAGGCCAGGGACACTGGACCATAGAAAATGTGAAATGGGATGAATGGTATGAAGATGGAAAAGTGGGAGAAATTCTCTGCTACCATCTTGTAGGTTTGGATATATCAATATGATATCATGTCAATATGATATCATGGAGTGTCTGCATAAGACAAATAAAGGATATTAGTGACTTCACATCAGAAATCAAAAGGCCAAATTACTTAGAGATAACATGATGCTTTATCTAAAATTTAGCTTGTCTCAACTGAAAATTTTTCACAAAGACCATAGTTTAAATCATTAGGGTCACCCAATTCAAAGTTACAATCATTATTATTATTTACTAGAACAAAGGTCAATAAAACATTAAACAGCTGGAACCTCTTTGGGGTAGGCGAAATCATTCTATTTTTAGAACTCAACTGTTTTAAGAAGCCACACAATCCATATACAGGCAATTATAAAATGATTATACATGAAGTAAGATGAAATAATTGGTGGAAATGAAATATTCAGGAATGTATCAGATGAATATAGTAAAAAGAAGGAAAAATTGTTTATTAATAGCTATGAGAGGTGCTTTTATTATCCCTATTTCAGAATTGAGGAAACTGAGGTAAACAAATGTTAAGAGACTAGCCCATGGTCTCACAATAAGTTTCTGAGACCAAATTTGAATTTAGTTCTTCCTGACTTTAGATTAGAACTCTATCCATCTGCCACCTTGTTGCTTCCTGAAAGGATAATACTTCTCAAAATAATTTACATTATTAATACCACACCAAACAAAACCATATTTCTTCATTGGATTTTATGAATTTATAATGGAACTAATATGGAGAATCCCACAGACAAGCATTGCATAGGAACCCTGAAGACAGTGCTAATGTGTCTCTGCTATTGGTGATTTGGATGTAAACACCAAAAGTGAAACCATCTCTGATCTTAAGGGGAGAAAGAGAGAGAGAGAGAGAATCTGTTTACATATATAAGTGTTGTTCCCCTGCCCTCCCAAGAGAAAGTCTGACCCTCGAGGGCAGGGATGGTTTCCTTTTTTGTCACTTTCTCCCAGCACTAAATTCAGGGCCTGGTACTTCGTGGGGCTAGGATACAAAATAAATCTTGGGCAGGTAAGGAGGCAGGGTACTAGGTGCTGATTGGTCAGAATTCCTCGTCACACGCACAGTGAAGCCTCACCTTAACTCATCACCTTCATCTTCATCCAGGCTCTGTAGTATTCAGATCCAAATTAGACTTTGATCCATGTCTCCAGGAACACATACTGATAGCCTGTCATTTTGCCTTTGAAGGTCATACACTGAGTTCCCTAGGATCTAGATAAATGGAAAAGAAAGACAGTCAGCCCTATTGTAAGATTTAGAGTCAGAATCCGAGATTCGCAGTGCTGCTAGAGGCCAGTCCAATCACTATGCCTCCACTTCTGCCCCCAGCCACATTTGAAGGCAGCAATCCTTCCCTAGGTCCTCCTGACTGATGGTCATCCAGCCTCTACCTGAGGACTTCCAGATACCATGAGCTGACTCCATTATGAGGAAGCTGCAGAAAGACTGTGAGGATAGTGATGAGGATGCCCATCTGTTACTAATGACCTGTGGGACCAGATCCAAATCACTCCACTGTTTGGAATCTCGGTTTCCTTTTACGAGCCTTAATATCTGTCCTCCCTCACAAGGTTGTTGGGAAGATCAGTGTGAAAGCTTTTTGTAGACCATAAGTGATGTCTGTCTCAACAAGGTATTATCATTGTTCTTTCCCCTAAAATTTGGTGAAATTATTATTTTAAGAAGAGAAGCAGAACTGGGCTAAGTGTATAGCAGTTGGTACAAAGGGACATTTCCATTTTCTTTATTTCTTTCAGATTTGGAGACTGAGCCTGAAAGCAAGGAGTCAACTGCAAAACTGGGCTTTTTGATGGAACAGTTAGGATGTAACAGACTTACAGGGGATGTTCTCTGTCTCTCCAATTTAAAGGAAGACTGGGAAAGTGATGCCAGATTAGGGAGGCAGCAGGGCATTGAGTTGAAAAATTCTCAGCAAGTAAAAATCATCCAAACAAAATCTCCAATTGAAGTGGGAGGTCATGAATGTACTAAATACAGTCAGAGTGTCAGGCTGAAACCAAAACTTTTTCTACAAAATAGACCATCTCTAGGAAAGAACCTCTATAAATGTGCTACACACAGAAAGAACTTCCTTCCACCTTCAGACTCAAATAAATATAATAGCCTCTGCTCAGAGAAGATATTTTCTCAGTATAATGAATGTGGGAAATCCTTCACTTCTCAGTCAGACTTTATTGATTACCTTAGATTATATCCTAGAGAGAAAATGATTGAGTATGAGGAATGTGGGAAAGACATAAACATCAACCTATTTGTTAATTGCCATCAGACAATAGATGTTGAAGGAAAAGACCCTGAATGCAGCAGCTTTTCGGGGGCTTCTCCAGAGAGTATACAATTTATTCAACATCAGAAACTCCATACTGGAGATAAACCTTATGAGTATGATGAATTTAGGAAGCCTTTCAATCACAACTCATCCCTTACTTCCCATGAGAGGATTTCCACTGAGAAGAAACCTTATGAATGCAATGATTGTGGGAAGGTTTTCTTCAAGAGTAGAAAGCTAACTTATCAGAGAATTTGTATTGTAGAGGTACCCTACAAATGTAATGAATGTGATAAGACCTTCCCCCAGAGCTCAGAAATCACCCATCTTCAGAGAATTAATAGTGGAAAGAAACTTTACAAATGTAACTATTGTTGGAAGGTCTTTCACCAGAGAGGGCAGCTTACTGAACATGAGAGAACCCATATTGGAGAGAAACCTTATAAATGTGATCAGTGTAAGAAGACCTTTCATCGGAGCACATACCTTTACCGGCATGAAAGGATTCATACTGGTGAGAAACCTTTTGAATGTAATCACTGTGGGAAGACCTTTTCTGCAAGACGATCACTCACTCAACATCAGAGGATTCATACTGGAGAGAAACCTTATAAATGTGATCGATGTGAAAAGTCCTTCCACCAGAGTGCACATCTTTCCCAACATCAGAGAATTCATACTGGAGAGAAACCTTACAAATGTAGTTACTGTTGGAAGGTCTTTCGCCAGAGAGGGCAACTTACTGAACATAAGAGAACCCATACTGGAGAGAAACCTTATAAATGTGACCAATGTGAGAAAACCTTCTACCGGAGCACACACCTTTCCCAGCATCAAAGAATTCATACTGGTGAGAAACCTTTTGAATGTAATCACTGTGGGAAGACCTTTTCTGCAAGGCAATCACTTACCCAGCATCAGAGGATTCATACTGGAGAGAAACCTTATAAATGTGATCAGTGTGAGAAGACCTTCCACCAGAGCACACATCTTTCCCAACATCAGAGAATTCATACTGGAGAGAAGCCTTACAAATGTAATCATTGTTGGAAGGCCTATCGCCAGAGAGGGCAACTTACCGAACATGAGAGAACCCATACTGGAGAGAAACCTTACAAATGTGATGAGTGTGAGAAAACCTTCCATCGGAGCACACACCTTTCCCAGCATCAAAGAATTCATACTGGTGAGAAACCCTTTGAGTGTAATCGCTGTGGGAAGACCTTTTCCACAAGGCAATCATTTACTCAGCATCAGAGGATTCATACTGGAGAGAAACCTTATGAATGTAATGAATGCGGAAAGGCCTTCCATGTGAAAAAAGAGCTTACCCAACATCAAAGAATTCATAATAGAGAGAAACCTTATGAATGTTATCACTGTAAGAAGGCCTTTTGCTTGAGTGCACAGCTTACCCAGCATCAAAGAATTCACACTGGAGATAAACCTTTCTTATTGCAATCACTGTGGGAAGACCTTCCAGCTAAGCACACACTTCATCCTACACCAGAGAACTCATATTGGAGAGAAGCCTTACAAATGTAATCATTGTTGGAAGGCCTTTTGTCATAGAAGGCAACTTAACTGAACATGAGAGAACTCATACTGGAGAAAAACCTTATAAATATGCTAAGTGTGAGAAGACCTTCCACCAGAGCACACACTTGTCCCAGCATCAAAGAATCATACTGGTGAGAAACCTTTTGAGTGTAATCAATGTAGGAAGGCCTTCTTTTGGAGAACACATTTTACCTGACACAAGAGACTTCATACTGGAGAGAAAATTTATAAATGTGATCAGTGTGGGAAGATTTTTGGCCAGAAAGGCAATCTTAGTCAATGTGAAAGAATTCATATTGGAGAGAAACCTTTTGAGTGTAATCAATATGGGAAGTCCTTCCTCATCGACAAAATTCTTATCCGACATCAGAAAATTCATACTAGAGAGAAATCTTATAAATGTCATGAAGGTGGGAAGCCATTAGTCAAAGTGACCATCTTATTAAGCATAAGAGAGTTCATATTAGTGATCTCATCAATATAATCAGTGTAGGAAGGCCATTAAAGAGAACACACAACTTACCCAGCAACAGAACCTTTATACTGGAGATAAACCTTATGAGAGAAATTAATGTTAAAAGATATTTTGTGTGTGAGAAAACCACTCAGCATCAGACAGTTCACACTGGAAACTTTATGAATGTGAAAAGGCTTCTCATGTGAAGAAATGACTCATCTGACATGATAATCTTCATAGCAGAGGAAAATTTTATAAATATATTCTGTGTGGAGTGTCCTTCAGCCTGAGCATAGAGATGACCCTGCAGCAGAGAGTTCATACTGGAGAGTAACCTTATATATGTAATCATTGTGCCAAGGCTTTCAATCTTAATTTACATCAGAGAATTCATATTGGTAAAGAAACTTTATGAATATAATCAATGTCATGAGGCCTTCAGGCATAGAGGCCTTCTTTCTATACTAATAATAAGTTAATAAATATGGGAGTAAAGCCTTATTAATTCTTGAGTTTGGGAAAGTCTGCTTTAGAGATCTCCTTAGTCTACACCAGAGAATTCATACTGATGAGGAGCCTCATAAAAGTAATGAATGTTGGGAAGGCCTTCCAAGTAAGCATATTGCTTACCCAATGTTATGGAATTCTTATAAGAGAAATTCTACTGAATATATTTAATGTGGGAAAGCCTTCAGTCTGGACACACAGCTTCCCAATATCAGTGGTGTCACTTTGGAGAGAAACCTTATAAACATTTAATGTGAAATTAGAGTGAAAAATAATTAAATGAATGTAACTCTGTGTAACTTCATAATTGACTGTGCTGAGGTGCTCTGTTTCTTGAGTTGGCCTATCATGAATGTCACAATGGAGAAAACCAATATTTATGTCAGGAACAAGGAAAGACCTTTTTTCAAAATGCAGAACTTTCTTGTCTTCAAGAGTATTAATTGTAGAGAAATCGAATAAATGTAAAAAATTGTGGACAGGCCATCCTCTTGAATGTGTAGCAATCTAACAACAAAAAATTCATTCTAGATAGATAGAAATTTTTTGAATGTGGAAAATCGTCCTTGTGATTGCACTGCTAACTTTGATATCCCAGAATTAATATGTCTTGACTGTAAGAAAGAACGTTAGCAAATGTAAAAGGACCTTCTTCCAGAATGGAGAGCTTGCCTGAAATCAGTGCATTTATTCTGAATACTCTGTGACTGTAACGAATGTGGGAAGGTCTTCCTTGTGTGTCAGCACAACGCTTATGCAGTGTCAGAGAATCCATACCACAGAGAGATTATGAATGGAATTTGTGATACGCATTCTACCATGGTAAAAACTGTATGCATCATCAAACAGTTCTTCCTTGAAAGAAAAATGTGATAAACTCATCCATTGGACATCTTAGTTTCTTTGTTTAAAAAATACATATACAATTATTAGAAATTAAAAGGGTTGTTGCATTCATGCAGATGCAGAATTTGTTTTTTCTGGCCTGTAAAAACAGCTATGAGCTTTCAAAACATTTTCAACTACACATACATTAATTTGCACACTCATACAGTTTTACATATGTTTAGATGTCAATGTTTTACTAAAGATATTTATTTCATTTCCCAATGAATAAGCATTTATTAAGCCCTGAGTATGTGCCAGATCCTGTGCTACATTCTGTTAATGCAATTAGAAGGAGAAACATAGTTCCTACCCTCAAGGAACTTACATCATAATAGGACTAGACAACATATAGTGATTGCCCCAGACATGTTTTGGTCTGGGCAGTTAGAAATGGTGAATGGAGCCTTAAGTTAATTGACTGATACATATCCTTTCTAGGAAAGTTAGTGTTAATTTTATTACAAAAATGGACTTATTATGAAAATATACTGCAAAGGGATAGGGACAGTATGTAAAGAGTCAGCAGATGGGGAGAGTTGGAAGTTTGGAAGAGGTAGGAGGGGAGGTGATTGGTAACAATATTCTGGAGAAAATGGGATGATGCCACATAAAGAAGTTGACCTTGTTGAGGAGAAGGGTAACCAGAACAGATAATGCTTTTTTGATCTGGAATTAAATATGCTCTAGGACATAAAGTATTACACATCTGGCAAATATACTACGGTATTCTATTCATATCAGCAGTTTTTGTGGTAGCAAAAACCTGGAGGTAAAATGATTTTCCATTGTTTGAGAAATGGCTGAACAAAATAGTTTATGAATATAAGGGGTCGTTTGTGGTCTGTGAGAAACTATGAATATACTAATAACTATTATAAAGCTGTAATCATCAAAAAACAGTCTGGTACTGGCTAATAAATAGAGTGATGGACAAAAACTCTTTATTTGACAAAAATAGCTGGGAAAACTGGAAAGCAGGACAGCAGAAACTATGTATAGATAGACCAAGGTTTTTTAAAATATAGATTCAGGGGGTGGAGCCAAGATGACAGAGTAAAAGCAGTGATTTGCTTGAGCTCTCTCCCAAACCCCTCCAAATACCTGGAAAAAAATGACTCTAAACAAATTCTAGAGCAGCAGAACCCACAAAAAGACAGAGTGAAACAAATTTCCAGTCCAAGACAACCTGGATGGTTGATGGGAAAGGTCTGTTGTGATGGGCTGATAGAAGAGCGCAGTTCAGTGTGGGCCATGCAGACAAAGACCAGGCCTCAGCGAACCTGGAACAGGCCTCAGCGGACTGAATCAAAGGGAACTGTAGCAGTTTCCAGACTTCTCAATTCACAAACACCAAAGACAACTTAGAAAGTCAGTAGGAAAGGTCTGTCAGATCTTGGTGAAAGAGGAGCACAGTCCATTCCCCAGTCCTGGGGCAGCCCCAGGGTGGCAGCTGCTTCCAGAGCTCTCAGCCCACAGACAGAGGTGGGATCAAGTGGCTGATCAGAGGGGATTACAGGGATTTCTTTGCTGGTGCTGAAGCAGGATTATCTTGCTTTGCCCCTGCTTGGATCTAGGTCACAGTCCTGGGTGGTGGTTCTGGATGAGGAGGAGCATTGGCATAGTGGAGCTTGTGGCTGTGGTGGAAAGGGAATCCTCCTCATAGTTCCAAGGCAGAAAAGAGTGCTTGTGGTCACTCATAGACCAGAGTACAGGCCAGGAAAGGAGTAAACACCTTGCCTTTGATCATACCACCTTGGAAGAACTGAAAATTTACAGGTCCCTAGAATTATCTCTGAAAACAGCTGCACAAAACCCCTGAAGCTTGGGACAGTACATCTTCCACACTGAAAGCAGACCCCTACTTTAACATAGCATTTAAAACTCAAGTAATTGACTGGGAACATGAGCAAACAGCTCAAAAAAAAAAACCAAACAAACAAAAACTCAGACCATTGAATCTTACTTTGGTGACAAAGAGCAAAACATACAACCAGAAGAAGACAACAAAGTCAAAGCTCCTGCATCCAAAGCCTCTAAGAAAAATATGAATTGGTCCCAGGCCATGGAAGAGCTCAAAAAGTATTTTGAGAAGCAAGTAAGAAGTAGAGGAAAAACTGGGAAGAGAAATGAGAGTGATGCAAGAAAATCATGAAAAACAAGTCAACAACTTACTAACAGAGACTCAAAAAAATAGTGAAGAAAATAACACCTTAAAAAATACCCTAACCCAAATGGCAAAAGAGGTCCAAAAAGCCAATGAGGAGAAGAATGCTTAAAAAGCAGAATTGGCCAAATGGAAAAGAAAGTCCAAAAACTCACTGAAGAAAATGCTCCCTAGGGGGCAGCTAGGTGGCACAGTGGATAAAACACCGTCCCTGAAGTCAGGAGGACCTGAGTTCAAATCCGGCCTCAGACGAAACACTTGACACTTACTAGCTGTGTGACCCTGGGCAAGTCACTTAACCCTAATTGCCTAAAAATAAAATTTTTAAAAAATTTTAAAAAAAAGGAAATACTTCCTTAAAAATTAGAATGGAGCAAATGGAAGCTAATGACTTTATGAGAAATCAAGATGTTATAAAACAAAACCAAAGGAATGAAAAAATAGAAGACAATATGACATATCTCATTGGAAAAACAACTGACCTGGAAAATAGATCCAGGACAGTTAATTTAAAAATTATTGGACTACCTGAAAGCCATGATCAAAATAAGAGCCTACACATCATCTTTCAAGAAATTATCAAAGAAAACTGCCCTGATATTCTAGAACCAGAGGGTAAAATAGAAATTGAAAGAATCCAATCACCTCCTGAAAGAAATCCCCAAAGGAAAACTCCTAGGAATATTATAGCCAAATTCCAGAGTTCCCAGGTCAAGGAGAAAATATTGCAAGCAGCCAGAAAGAAACAATTCAAGTATTGTGGAAACACAATCAGGATAACACAAAATTTAGCAGCTTCTACATTAAGGGATCGCAGGGCTTGGAATATGATATCCTGGAGGTGAAAGGAGCTAGGATTAAAACCAAGAATCACCTACCCAGCAAAACTGAGTATAATCCTTCAGGGGAAAAAAAATGGACATTCAGTGAAATAGAGGACTTTCAAACACTCTTGATGAAAAGACCAGAACTGAGTAGAAAATTTGACTTTCAAATACAAGACTGAAGAAAAGCATGAAAATATAAATAGGAATGAGAAATCATAAGGGACTTACTAAAGTTGAACTGTTTACATTCCTACATGGAAAGATGATATTTGTAACTCATGAGACTTTTCTCAGTATTAGGGTAATTTGAGGGGAATATATATATATACATATATTATATATGTATATACACATATATATATACACATACATGTGTGTGTGTAGAGAGAGAGACAGACAGGGTACAGGGTGAGTTGAAGGTGAAGGGATATCTAAAAAATAAAATTGAGGGGTGAGAGAGGATTATACTGGGAGGAGAAAGGGAGAGGTAGAATGGGGTAAATTATCCCACATGAAACAGACAAGAAAAAGCTTTCATAGTAGAGGGGAAGTGGGGGAAGGTAAGAAGGAATGAGTGAATCTTACTCTCATTGGATTTGGCTTAAGGAGGTTATAGCATACACACTCAGTTGGGTGTGGAGATATATCTTACCCTTCAGGAAAATGGGTGGGGAGGGGGATGGGTGGGAATGATAGAAAGGAGGGCAGATTGGGGGAGGGGGTAATCAGAAGCAAACACTTTTGAGGAGAGACTGGGTCAAAGGAGAGAACAGAATAAACGAGGGGTGGGATAGGATGAAGGGAAATATAGTTGGTTTTCACAACATGACTATTATGGAAGTGTTTTGCATGACTACATATGTATAACCTGTATCAAGTTGCTTGCCCTCTCAATGAGGTTGGGTGGGGAGGAACGGAGAGAATTTGGAACCTAAAGTTTTAAAAACAAATGTTAAAAATTGTTTTTACATGCAATTGGGAAATAAGATATATAGGCAATGGGTATAGAAATCTATCCTGCCCCACAGGAAAATAGAAAGGAAAGGGGATGAGATGATAGAAGGGAGGGCAGATTTGGGGAAGGAGTATTCAAAAGCCACACCATCTTGGGGTGGGGGAGGGGAGAGATGGGGAGAAAATTTGGAACTCAAAATCTTGTGGAAGTGAATGTTGAAAACTAAAAATAAATTTAAAAATTAGCATTAAAAAAGAAATATTTTGTAAACCTTAAAGTGATATAAAATGTGTTTTTTTTAATTAAAAAATGCAGATTTAGCTCATCAATCCTTTTCAATTTTGTTAATGTATGTTTATAAAGATGTGATTTTCCCCCCTGTGGTATGCTTGAGGTTCTGTAAAGGATGTATTAACTCTTTCTGCCTTTTTACATTTGTTTGCAATATCCCTCTACATTAGTACATGGTC